GCAGTATGCTAATAATTGACAAAAAGAATATTTCCAGATCTTTGATCCCGACCATATCTGTGCCATTTCACGAGTCTACGGTGAAGAGCATGTGGAACTGAAGTCATTTGGATTTAAACCCGACTTTTGGGTATCGATCGCTGATGCCATTACTGTTGAGGGTGTGATTTTGGATATGGCCAATCACCAGGTTTGAATTTTCGCTTTGTTCCATAGAAATATGTAGGAAGCAGCAGGAATTAGTAGAAACATAGCTGTGAAAAACTATTGTGTTTGGATTTCTAAAAAATGCCTTCAGAGTTTTCTAACGAAAAGTGGCTTTCTAAACTTTGAAATCCGATTAGCTAATAAAAAACAGTTTCGCCCAAAACCAGACTTAAAAATGGAAATATTGTAAGAATTCTACGAAAAAATGTAATAATTATTGAAAGTGATTCAATATAATATTGCAAGCATTTTTTTGAATTTTTAGAATCTGATTTTTTTTGGAACTCATGTCCACCAACTTTGAAAAATTGTCCCCATGATTTTGAAGAATTTACCTAAGCAAGCTTGTAGGATGGCTTTTACTTATTGTGATAATATTAAGATTAGCTTGGAACTAATAACATCCTGTTAACTTGTCTAACTATGCCGTTAAGTGAGGCAATTTTGTGAACTTTTGAATGCTCGAAAAACTCAATCATAGGAGGCTTGCTATTTGCTTTACGAAGCGGAAGATCTGCCCATCTAAGCTTTCAAAGCCAGCGGCTTAGCATAATGACAACCATGCTATAATTTCCATTCTAGGTTCCCCTGGATTAGCTAAGTCCAAGACTATGCTTTGCAGCTTCGAAAGACATCATTAACCCGCTTTTCCAGAGGTGAAAAGGCTGTTTGGGCGGGCCGCGAAAGTGGCTGCTGTAGCCAATTACGGTGTCTCCACTCACGAGCCAATCGCGCTCTAGAGGGAGGCATGCACGGTCCGCCCAAATAACACTTTTCACTTCCAAAACAGCGGGTTATCGATATCTTTTGAAGCTGCAAAGCACAGTCTTGGGCATCCGAGGAAACCGAGAACGATGAGTATCCGAAAGTTGTCATTCTGACGAGGCGCTACTTTTGAATGCCTTGCCTGAACGAGTATTTTTCCAGCCCGCGGATACGGTAGCGGCATGGTCGCAGC